TTGCAGTAATCCGCTTAACGACTGTGGCAGAGGAGCTCCTGTAGGACAGCTCGCTCAACGGCTTCCTTTTTTTTTTTTATATATACTTTTTATTTATAAAACAATTAAAAAAAAACATTGGATTTGACCTGACATTCCAGTATATACATTCTTATCAGATTATACCATATTTTACAATCAATTCATTATCTCTACATATACATTAAATTTTATATACATTATCTATTCTAAAGTAACATACATTTCTACCTTATCATTCGTCTTTAATCCCAGCCGTCCTTTTCAAATTCCTCCAGCTTCCTTAACGGTGGAGATTTTGTGCTCCGTTGCGGTCCAGTTTTCTGTTTTAAAAAACGAGGGTTGAAACAATTGCTTTGAAACACGTTTGTTCCCCCCCCCCCACAAAGGGCTGCGGTTTTAACTCTATTTGCCCCCCCCCAAATGTAACCATTCATCCTCGCCCCTCCCGATGAGAGGACTACGGACTTCTGGCCCAGGGCTGCCCCAAGGGTGCTTTTTTCAAGAGTCAACTGGACTCTTTCTTGTTTTTCCTTGAAGACCTTTCGCTTCTCGTCCAAGAAGCTTCTTCAGCTCGGAGAAGAACTGAAGAAGCTTCTTGGATGAGAAGCGAAAGGTCTTCAAGCGAAAAGCAAAAACATCCAGTTGCCTTTGGAAAAAAAAGCCCCTTTGTGTCTCGGTGAGATGGGTGCCCTGTCCCTGGCAAAGGGTGAGAGGGCAGGGATGCCAGGCCCCAATCTGCCCGTGTGTGTGTGTGTGTGTGTGTGTGTGTGTGGCAGGGGTAGTCAACCTTGGCTCTTTTATGACTCGTGGACTTCAACTCCCAGAATTCCTGAGCCAGCTAAGCTGGCTCAGGAATTCTGGGAGTTGAAGTCCACGAGTCATAAAAGAGCCAAGGTTGACTACTCCTGGTGTATGGTCTACTTTTAGGAAGGCCATGCCCCTTTTCTCCATTTACTGGGGGGGGTGTGGATTGTGGACCACCTGCCCTCTATCCCAGGGACTCCACTCCCAGATCCTGAAGCCCCTGGCTGCAAGTTAAGGTCTGTCCCATGTTTGGGGCAGCCCAAATGCTTGATCCCAGTTTGGCCAGGATGCCCGGCACCCCCCTCCCCCCTCCCCATGGGACACCCCCCCCGGAAGGTTTGGCCTTTCTGAAGATTTCAGCTGCAGCTCTTCTTTCTCCGTCTCGCCCTGGCAGTACCTGGAGCTGCGGTTTTCCAGGAAAGTCCGGCTGTGTGGCACAATCCAGTACATCATTGCCACGGTAAGTGCCCAGGATGCGGTGGGCATTCTCCCCTTCCCTCCCCCCCCAAATCCCTCCCTCCCCTTGAGAGGGTGGTCTCCCATGCTGCACAGCCTGAAAGATGCAAGGATCAGAGCTGGCTGAGGCGGAAGAGAAGAAACTGCCCCTCACCCCAGCATGGTCTCCACACTGACCATGGGTGGCTCCCTTTGGGGTCCCCCCACCCCCACAAGAAAGAAAGATTCGGGGGCAGAAAGAGGAACTTGCTCAGAAAGAGCCCGCCAGGCCAAAAACCTTGCCTAGCTTGTTGGGTTGAGGTGCTGCCTTGGTGGACAAGCCAGTGGGGGGGGGGCGGGGGGAGCATGGATCACCTGCCCCCCAGCCCCTCCCTCTGCAGCTTTGCAGGTTTTAAAAGCCCTGCGCTGTGCCTCCCTCCCTCCCTCCCTCAGGTGCTGTACACGGGAATCGTCATCTACGCCCCGGCCTTGATCCTCAACCAAGGTAGGTCTCACTTGCTCTCCTCTCCCGCACTCTGAACTGGGCTGGGATTCATACAGCCCCCCCCGCCCCCCCCAGTCAGCTGAAGACCCAGGGGCTGTCCTGGCCCAGGGACAGACTCCCCCACACCCACGCTGATGAGTGTGACACGCGTGTGCATGCCGGTCCAGGCCCTGGTGCTTCGGCTTCTCTCTCCATGGATTGTGGGCTGACTGAAGCACTTGTGTGAAGGCAGTTCCCCGGGGTCGGAGAGTGGATTGGGGGGGGGGAGTTCAACTCCACCAGATCTGACCCACTTTGCAGGAGTTGTGCCCACCCCGGCCCCTCCCCGGGGAGAGGCGTCCTCTTTCCTCTGCCTCTCTGCTTCCAGGCGAAGCCGGCGGACTCGCTGGGAAAAAAAAGGGAGAATCTCAGAATAAAGATTCTTTTTCTCGTTTTCTTGTTTTTTCAGTGACGGGTCTGGACATCTGGGCCTCGCTTCTCTCCACGGGCACCATCTGCACTTTCTACACCACCATTGTGAGTCGAAGGGGCGTCCGGCCCTTGTACACCCCCTTCCTCCAATCTCCCCCCCCAGGAGGCTTGTGGGGAGGGGTCTGGGCTGTTGCTGGGATCCTTTTGCTCTCCCCCAAAGCCCAAAGCCCCGGGCGGTGCCCCAGAGGAGCTGGTTGACCTCCCAGGACCCCCTTCTTTTCCAGGGGGGCATGAAAGCGGTCATCTGGACGGACGTCTTCCAGGTCTTGGTGATGCTGTCCGGCTTTGTGGCCATCTTGATCCAGGGGACGCTGCTGGTCGGGGGGCCGGGGCAGGTCCTCTCCATCGCCCGCAACCACTCCAGGGTCAACCTGGGAGAGTAGGTGGAGCTGCTGCGGGGGGGGGTATTGGGGGTCCCCCGGCCCCCTCACTCTCTAGTCCTCCATCTGGGAGGGGGCTTGGGAGTAGGAGTACCCCGTTTGCTGAGCAGATGGGATGGGTTCAGTCTGACATTGTGCTGAAAGGAGGGGAAAAATGGACCCCCAAATGCTGAATGGGGCCATTTTCAGGGGAGTGACTTAGGTGAGAAATGGATGGATGGATGGATGAATGAATGAATGGACGAAGTAACTAACGAATAAATGCAAGACTGTTGCCTTATTCCTGTCTGAATCTCCCAGCATGAAGGAGATTTGAGAGTGACATTTCAAGGTGGATCCCTTAAATCTTTTTTTTTCCAATGGCGGGAAAAAACCCATCCCTGAAAGTCAGACAAATAAGTTTGAATTCCTTTTTAAGAAATCCCAGGCTGCAGCAACTTCCCCCAGGAGCCCCCCCATTTCCTTTGTGTCGGTCTGCGTGTCTGTGCGTGTGTGCCTGCATGTCCAGAACTTCATGAGGTCTAGCCCCATGTCGCTTGGTAAATGCCCCTGGAGACGCACCTTCCTTCTGACTCTCTCTCCTCTCTCTCTCTCTGGCCCCCTCCAGCTTCAACCTGGACCCCCACAGCCGCTACACCTTTTGGACCTTCCTCTTCGGGGGCACGCTGGTCTGGCTCTCCATGTACGGGGTCAACCAGGCCCAGGTCCAGCGTTACGTGGCCTGCAAGACGGAGAAGGAGGCCAAACTGTGAGTTGCCCGGAGGAGTTCCGCTTCTGGCCCCGCGTCCCGGGAATTTGTCGGATCAGAGGCTGGGGGGGGCTCTCCCGAAACCGGGGGAGGCTGAGGGGCCCCTCCCTGCACTTCAGGGCATCTTTTGAGGGTCACCAGCCCCCTGCCAGCCCCGACGGCTCCGGAAGCAGCGAGGGTGGGGGCAAAGCCGAGCATTGTGCCCCCCCACTTGCGTCACTTTGGGCTGTGGCAGGGCCCGGGTGGCTCGGCTGGGGGCAGCCAGCCAGGTCTGGGCAGGGAGGAGTGAGCGCAGCCCTCCTTATCGCCTCCAGCCGCCCCCCCCTTTTAAAATCTATTCTGCTGCTGCCGTGGCCGGCCCCACCCAGTGGCCCCCCCTCCTGCCTCCTCCACCTGGGTGTACAAACACAGGCGGGTGGCTGTGCCTTCCTTGCAGGACCCCCTCCTGTCACCCACCTCACGGGGGTCACGGGGCTATCGGCCTCTCCCCACAAAGGCTTGTTTTCCTTCCAGGCGGGGCCGTGGGTCACCAGGCGGGAGGGGGAGGGGGAGGGGGGAGGGGAGCAGCCTCCCTTGAGCCTTCAAGAGCCTCTCTTCCCAGCTGCCCCCCCCCCCCCCCCCCCCCCCCCCCCCGGTCTGACTGGAGCCTTCGGCCCTGTTCTGGGCGACCGCAGAATTTTATTTTATTTTTTTTGTCCATTTATGCTGCCCATCTTGTGTCTGACGAGCCTTGTGATTTTAAGATTGTAGTCCTCATG